TAAAACCAGTGGCTGTCTGAGTAAAACAAGATAATTCTACGCATAATTGGTTAATTTAAGATATTAAAGAAATAACATTTCCGAATGTTGTTTCATTTATTTCATAATTGAAATAATTTTTTTCATAATTGAAAAAAAAAATGCAAAAACTAAGTTAATCCATGGATAAAATTCTTGAAAAATAGTAAATTAACACGAAATAATTTTTTAAATTCTATGTAAGTGGAAAACAGTGATTGTAATAAATAAAAAAAGATCATAGTTCATATAAAGTGCATTACAGTTTTGCTCCCGATTTGTGAATTCATAAAAATCAGCCCCCCCCAAAAAATTAAATTTATCACGTTCGCTTGCTGACGGTATACTCCCTTGTCGTTCTAATCTTTTTGCATTTGAGCTGTATTATTTATGAAATTGTAATATTTCTGAATCTGATGCTTCAGATTCAGAAATATTACAACAAACACAAAATCACTCTGATTTATCAACTTGTGCCTAAATGTAGAATACAGCTTTCCAAATGGAAAATTTTAGTAGAAGTAACCGTAATACAGACTAAAAATACTTCATTATTATTCATGTTCTGTTCATGAAACTGGCTATCCCTGACTTATCGCATCCGGAACATTTAAAAAAAAAAATAAGTATTCTTATAGATATTTTGCATACCCAGATAGTAATTTAATGGAAATCTGATATTTTCTTGTTCCATTGTATATTTCACTATTACTCTTTGGCTTGGGAAGAAATTTTTCCATTGATATTACATACCTCTCCAGCGACTATTCTAATAAATTATTAACTACAACTGTTAAAATTCTAATAAATTATTAAGTACTAATTAAAACAATACCAACTAGAGTGAATAAAATCCCTAGTTATACAAGAATTATCTTAAAAGTTGCTTAATCTGAAACGAAAAATGCAGCCCATGTGCAAAATAAAGCAAGTTTACTTTAGAATGTTATCGACGAATGAATTTTTCCCATGGTAATGTGCATGCTTTTCCGTAAATGCATTGTGTTTTTATATTTTCTGTTATCTGTGAAGTATTTCTAGTTGAATATTTGCATTTGAAATTTTTAAACTGATTTTAAAGGACATGTGTATTTTGAATAATGTGTGGCGAAATGAGGAACAGTGGCATGAGTGGTTCTATACATTCATATTGCATCTCTTCTTCTTAACAGTACAGCCAGTTGAAAGAGAAGTGTGCTTAAATAGTGCTTTATGAGATGTAATCTATTTACTTCTTATATATGATATTCATGATATATAAAATGTTATATATGTGCGAAGAAATGTATGGCTTCCGCGTTTAATTAAAAGAATGCTTTTTTGAAAATGTGGTCTTTCTTCACTTGTTGACTATGTTTAGATCATTATATGGAGCTTCTCTCAATTCCACAATGTTACCTGTGGGATATTTATGCATAATTTTATTTGCTATCTATCAGAAATTAAATGTTAAAAAAGTTGTAAGTATTCGTTGTTAAATAATATTAGTTTGACTTGCGTATTGTGCTAACACTGGATCATTATTTGGAATTATGTCAATATTTCTTGTTAGCAGAATTTTATTCGCAGAATTTTATTTTGAAAAACTTCTTCCGAGTTGGAAGAAAGGGAACAAGCATTCCAGTCCTAGCTGAACATTAATTCCATGTATATTAAAGACTTCTTTTTTTGAGGTATCCTTCACAAATATTACTATAATCCGAATTAAAAATAATACATTACAGTGTGATATTCTTCTCAGAAGTTAAAAATAATTAGATCTTCTGTACCTTGTTAGGAAAGTGAAGACTGTGTTTATGAGGTTATGTAGTAAATGCATGGCATCATGTTAAGAATCCGAATGATGCTATGAGGATTTATCTATTTATTTTGAGTTAAGTATTTTTTCTGCCGCTTTTCGTTTTCACCCACGCTTTTCATGCCAGAATGTAAATGAGATAGCAAGCGTTTATTCAGATTGAGAAAGAAAGAAGTGCTATTTAAGCGAAGGTTTCGCAAATTGATTTTAAGAGTATGTTCTGTCTATTTGAGGCCACTTTGATACCGTGACTAAATAGCGATTTTATTCTGTGGGATTGAATGCTTCTAGCCATTAACCTTGTCTCGCCGGTTTTCTACAAACCACAGCCTTCCTGCGCGTTACTTTATCCTGTGAGACGTTAGGCTAATCTAACTACATTTAATTTTAGTTCAAGATTACTTATTTAAGTTTAGCCAGAAGTGTTGGCTTATGTAAGCCTAAGTGGGGCAGTCTGTGAAGATATTGGTGTTTGAATAAAAGGATTTTATACACCCTTCTTCAGACTTCTGTTTGTATCATAAGACTTGAAGATAATTTTTCTACAGTCTTTTTGGAGCTCGTTAGTGTATACTTTATAAGCACACCAGACGCTATAATATTGTGATATGAAGAAAATCAAGTTTTTAGAGTATATTTAGATGTTTAACGTAGGATGTGCACAAGAAAATCCAAGATATTTTTTAAAGTGTTTTAAAGAGTTAAGAGAATCGCTATTAGTAATATAAATGAGTCCTTCTACTGAATAAAATGGATTGTTCTTAATATATTCGTGAAAATGTCTATAGAATAAAATAAAATAAAAAAAAAAAATTAATTATATATTTGAACTAAACTGGGTAGAAAACGCCCATGTATTGGCTTAAGTGACTTTATGCCTTAAAATTTTATTACGCCTTATGAGATTTGATTCAAAGCCAGTAGATCTTACAATAAAGAAACTTGTGTAAGTCTGTATTTATTTTTGAGGAAAAGGAAACAGAAATGTGTCATAAATATATTCTAAAAGCAGGATAAAAGGTTAATATAAGGTAAAATGTGTAAATAAAAAGTGTAAAATATGCATGTGTTAAACATGATTTGGTGAATCCTTTGAATAAAAAAGTAAGAAGTGTAAAAGATAACCAGTAATTATACAATCACAAAGTGGGGAACACACCACGTAGGAAAAAAGGAAGCAAAAAATAACTCTTATTGGGCTCCCGTAATTTAAGTTAAAATTCCACGTAGATCAAATATTAATTTAGAAGTCGAACAACAAAAATCAGCGTTATATTTGCAAATATTGCAAATATAACGCTGATTTTTGCTGGTTGATTGCTAAATTAATAACTCGTGATGTTTTGTATAGTGTTTCAAAAAGTTAGTACAGTCATAAGTAGTTAGTGTGATACATTAGAAGAGAAAATTCTCAATCCTAAGTAGTATCGTAAAATGTAAGACATTTAGTATTTCAATTAAACTATATAAAATGAACATTGTATATATTGGTTTTTCAGTCGCTTTTAAGGTACAGAAAATATTATGCCGTGTTATGTGAACCAAATAAAATACTGTATTATGTGAATCAAAGAACTGATACAAAAAGGCAGGGTTTGATTCCAGAAGTTAAGAATAAAACTTTATCAATTTCATTTTAGAGCCAAAAGAAATATTGTTACGTTATTTTCTGACACCAGTTATTACGTAACTTTCTTCGTTCACGTTCGTAAGGGGTTCGTTTGAATATGGAGTAAACAACGACGACAGCACTTCATGAAGTATCGAAACACACTTTATTTACCAATATCAATCAGGACAGCTCCAAAACACTTTAACAGTCGTCGAAGATCTACTATAAATACGCTGGAACAATCAACGACACAGCCTTCACACTGTCAGGCAATAACGGTGGAGACAGCTTCACGGCAAAGCACCAGAGTACAGCTCCCGACTCTGCTCGGTCATTCTCGGAACTCCCCATACTCTCAAGACTCTCCACGCTACAACTCGCGATGCACTGGACGACACACAGAGCACAGATCCCGACTCTTCGGTTCAGTCGTTCCCGGAGCTTAACACACTCTCTCGAAGATGCACTAACCGCGATACACTAAAAGACACTTCGATGCACTCGACGACCCACTCGGCACTCGCTGCCCGGCTGTCAACTAGATCGACTCCACACGGACTGACTAACTCGAGATTATCTTGACCTCTGACTCTCAGCGTACCAACAGGGTTTATAGTTTTGGGCCTGTGTTCGAGAAAGTTCTGGGCTAAACGGGTAAGAATTCGTTCCAGAAGGTTCTTCATCCGTCAATGGCATATCGCCAGTTTTGTCGCCAAATATCGCAAAACGAGCGAATTATCGCCAAATGTGGCAACCCTGACTTCCCTTGCCATTTTATGGCAACCCTAAAACTGCTTTGCGGAGAAGCTGTCTTACCGCGTCTGGACATTTCGTAACAATATATTTACTAAAAGCTACTAAATCTCACAGCTGATTCAGAATTGACTTTCCTGGTTCTGAAATCTGTATTTATATACGAAGCATGTGCTCAAAGCTTCTGGAAAAGTAGGTCGTAGGACTTCAAAAATTTGTTTTTCCAAATCTTCCAAAGCGTTGCTAAATCGGGAAAAAGTCGCCAAATTTCACCAACAATGTGCTCTCACATTCTAAGTTCCCTACGCAATTCAAAAGTTTCTGTTGTTTGTTTTCGAAAACAATTCGTTGTTTTCTGTTGTTTGTTTTTAACTGAGATCTTTTAAATTTTGTTACATGTATGTAAATATCTGCGAAACATTTGTGGTTCTTTCAAGTAAAAGATCTTCATTTAAAAAATATAATTCAAATTTTTCGTCGAAGAGGGAGAAAATAACTATCTCTTCTTTTTTCTCTTATCTTCCCTTACGTTATATTTCGACATGTTACGATGTCAGTAGGCGGGCAGTACTACCTTAGGTACTCGGCAATTTCAGTTTGATGGCCCTTGGTTGAACCATGTTAGAGAGTAAGAATGTTGTAAGAATGCAGTGTTATAGGTTTCTTTTTTTCCCTAAGTCTCGAGCCATGTGTGAGAGAAACTGTGCTGTAGGTATGCTGTGCAACATGGATGCAGAAGCATGGTTTTCTTTATATATATATATATATAAAATTACCGTTATCCTATTGTGTATTCATTCTGTTTTTGATCTTTTCCAGGCATGATTTTTATGCGCTACCAGCACCGAAGGCAAGAGGCAGAAGATGGAGGAGGACCTAGAGAAAACTCAGGCCACGAAATGAAGCGCAAAATGAACGTCATAAACCTCACAGGAGAAAGTCTTCGAGCAGTAGCCAGAGAGACACTCATTTCTACATTCGTCTGTGGAACTCTTCTTTTATTTCTGGGAATTTCTATTCTCTGTGTTGGACTTTTTGTTCCAAGTTTCAAAAGAGACCCAACGTCTTGCTTTGTTGTAGGTCCAACTTTCATAGTTCTTGGCACTTTAGTTCTACTTTTATCGTTAGGTATAATCCTAAAATTAAGAAAGATATCTTCATCAATTAGATCATCCGCCGAGCTGGAAAGTCTTGCAAAGAAAGGCAAGGAAAATCAAAAGAATATTTCGGAAAAGGATAATAATGACGAAGAAATTGCTGCTAAGGATTCTACGGCAAAGGCTATTCCCGTCGTTATCCATCCTGCCACGCCACTTCAACAGCTCGATACAAAACCATTGGCAGTGGACGTTGTAGAACACAGGTGAAATTGCTGGATATCTATTTAGATAAAATTGCTGGAAATGTTTATCAAGATTTGACATTCCTTTTCTTTCTAAAAGCATACTGAAAGTGCTTGAGATTGAATAATTCTAATAATTTTGAAAAATAATTCGTAGAAAGAAACTTTGAAATTTCATTTAATCACACTTTTCCCATTTGGGAAAAATTTTCCGATGCTTCTTCCAGGAACTGGAAGTATGAAGGAAGCTAATAATAGCAGTACAGTGCGCTTAAATGCAACAATTAAAATTATCTAATATGGACATCACTTGACTTTTTTTTATAGAATATTAAATTGTTCACATTTTTTTGATGACTTCATTTAAATTTATTTCTTCGAATTTCATCAGAAAAAAAGTTTTTTATCCAATTATTTTAGTTCTCACTTCTTAGCAAGACAAAAATACATAAAAACTCATAATATCTTCATTAAATATTGTATAATATGGAAAAACCTAAGACACGAAATGTATTTAAAAGCAGTTAAAAATCAATTCTTACAATTAAAATTAGAATTTTTACGAGAAAACAACCAATTCAGCCAGCGGTCAAGAAAGCAAAATTTTTGGTGCGCAGAATTGAAAGTTACCTTTTGGGGCTAATGGGCAAAAAGGCACCGAAGTTGGTCCGCCAGCAGATTTAATTCACTGTTCTACTAACTGTTTCAAATGTAAACAAATGGCGGTTTCATCAGGCCTAATGTGACTTAAACTTTTAAACTCGTGATAATTCTACGACTATTGCATGCTGATTAACTAAAGGCATAAAAACCTTAACCAGAGCATTAGAACTACAAAATTCAGTCGCCTTTAAAGCAAATAATGCATAATTTCAAAACTAATAGAATTAAAGAGAGAATTTATAGCAGAACAATCTCGAAAAATAAAACTGCAAAAGGGAAAATATACAAAATTATACAAATAAAAATTGTACAAATCAAAAATTAATCTCCTTTTATTGAAACTCCAATTCAGAACTCATGGGGGGAAATTAATTAACGCTTCATAAAAGTCGATTAATATGTTTCGTTCTCCTGGTCCATTTGAGATCAAAAACCGTAAAAAGATTTTATCAAATTTTTATTGATTGTTTTACTATGAATTCTCTCTTTAATTCTATTAGTTTTGATATTATGTTACAACTCTTATACATGGTTGCAGTTATTATATTATAGACAAATTGCCTTGCTTTTATTCCAATTTACTAATTAATTTAGATGCTTATTTATTTTATTATTGGATTGATTCTACTTCAGTCCTGCAGCTATAGCGCAGGACAGGTTTTAAAAAAAATTATTCGAATTTTTAACCTATTTATATATTCCTTGATATATAAGGTGAAAAGAAAATTCTTCGTGTTTTAGGTTAAAAGTCGTTGTGATACTGTGGTTCCGGTCAATAATTTTAACACAAGTTAAAATAAAGTGCACTGAATGGTGTAAATACAAGATAAATGAAATTATCACTAGAATACTTACAAATAATACGCGAATTTAAAATTCAAGTCAAAATGGAAGTAAAATGTTGATTAAAGTAAAGATATATAAGACCTAAGCAAAAATACAAAAAAGCGGTAAATGGTAAATTAGCCTAATTCGAATCTCATTATTGACTTTTCAGGGAAAATACAAAATGGTTTCGAATCCAGCTAATTCCATATCGCTTTTCGTCAAAACAGAAAATCGAACTGATAACGAAACTTTTGTTATTTAATTGAAAAATAACCTAGATTAAAAACCTGTTCTCAATGCTATGTTCATTTCCCGCGCGTCCATTTTAAAAGTAAATGAAAACACATTATGGTGTAAGAAAAACTATACAAACTGCCTGATAATGTATACCTAAGGGTTAATTGGTAATTATCTTCTGAGAATTTAGTAGAATTGTAGTTGAATGAAGTAACTTGAAGCATTAAAAATGAACTTGAAAAAAAAAAAAAAAAAATTGCTTTAAAAAACATCAATATAAATATGAAAAAAATTTAAATTGGAAATTTTTTAAAATGAAATATTAATCAACAAACCAAGTTATTATCGTCATTGATCGGAATAGGGTTGACTTTTCAAGGGGAAGAAACCAACCCCCCATGAATTAAGAATAATTAATAAATGAAGGTGTTTCGTCTTTTACTCAAGTAAGAATTATGACGTCGAACTGGGAAGCTGAACCAATGAGTTAGATTTTAAGTGAGATGAATTAGAGTGAAGGTACTATATAGAATTCATTATGAATGTGGCAGTTCCGTTTAGCTTATAATTTTTTTTATATCATGAGATATTACTGCTAGGTTGAGTAGTAATAAAATTTTCTCACTTGAGTAAAGTGTCCCCCGACACCCTCGGTTTCGTGCATGTTAATTCAAAGTTTTCTAAAAAGAAACATCAAATACGAATCAGGAAAATTTGAAATTGGAAATTTATTTAAAATGAAATATATATACACACAGACGTTCGGTGCGACCGATTGTAGCAAGAAAGGGAGTTGCACAACTGGATGTTATAGCAGTCTAATATACAGAATTTCAACGTCGACGGGTATTCTTTTTGAGTTATAGCAGATACAAACATACGTACATACGTACAGACGTCACGCAGAAAAGTCTCGTCAGAATCTATTTTAAATCCATTTTACAATCCTTTAGGTTAAAAGCGTCTTTATTCTGTCCGTACTTACAGATATCAGGCAAAGATAGGTTTATTTTAAATGGATTCGAAAGCATTCAAAATGGATATTTTATTTTAAATATGATACGTGAAATT